TCATAGGTCGAGCAGAGTAAAAACATACCCATTTTTGATCGATGTTTTTGAATCATAAGCCACGCTCAGTCGATATTTCCCATTTTTTACAAGCATAGTCAAAAATTGGGTCGAGCTCAGCCAAAACATACGTCGAGTACAACTTAGGTCGAGTACAAATTTCAAATCTGGTTTCAGAGAGAATTTTTAATTTTTTTTTTAGATCTGAAAAATCCCGCGACACTAAAATTCAATAATTCTGAAATTTCAATGAATATCGTAACTTAGATTAAAAAATTTCTGTCTAAACTGGCAGAGAGATCAGAAGCAAGAATGAACGATTCAGTTTAAGAAAAGAATTAATTTGTAATGCCGAAGTCGCGCTTTTTTTCTGATTTGACTAGGTTTTTATACAGCTCTAGCATCAACGCAAAAAATGAACTGAAAAATGTGCACAAAATTATTTTTCAATTTATTCATGTTTGCTGATAGTCGGGAAATTAAATAAAGATAAAATATAGTGCAAGTGCGGTTGAAACACACCCATTTTTGGTCAAGAAAGTCAAAGCATTCATGATTTTCATCAAAAAAGTTTTTAAAAATTGATTCGAGCACAGTCAAAACAACCAAGATAGTTCAATCAAAGTGGAAGCATACATTGAGCTCAGTCAAAACATAAGTCAATTACAACAAAAGTTTTCAAAACTCAGTTTTTTGAAATTAATAAAATTTAATGAGGCCAATGAGCAAACATATTTGCTCCAAAAACTTCCCTGTAAAAAATTGCAACGAACAACAATCAGTTGAGTAAGTATGCTTGCTAAAAAACTACAAGTGTCAGAAGGAACTCCTCAATTGTTGGAGATATAGAGATTACCATTGCAAGATAATGTAAATTCTTCTGAAGTTTTTTTATACACTAGTTTTTGGATTACCAATTTTAGTTTAATTTCTGAAGAAAAAAAATTGGAAAATTTTCTTTAAAAAAAATGTTTTTATGCCGAAATCTAGCAATTTACAGATTGCAAAAAAACTTTCGGGTCAAGCAGTATCTCAAGAAGATCAACTGAAAAGCATATGCAATGTTTTGCTTTATTTATTAATTAACTCATCTTCTTTGATAGTCGGAAAAATCAAAATATAGGTCAAGATTAGTAAAAACATACCCATTGCTGGTCACGAAAGTCGAAATACAGATCAATCAACCACGGTGAAAACCAACTCAATTTAAACAGCCAAAACCTAGAATTAGGTCGAACACAGTCGAAACATATGTCAGTCACAGTGGAAACTTAGTTGGGGCTAACTTAGTTAAAATAAAGATAGAAAACAAGATAGGTTTTCAAAAATTTAAATTTTTAAAGATTTTAATTAAATTTATATTGGAAACTAAGCAAACCATTTTGCTCAAACAAAGCCCCTTTCAGAAATTTGCAAATTTCAGAAACAACCCATTAACTTTAAAAAGTCTATAGTTCCCGTAATGAGAAAAAGTAAGTTTTAGTGCATTTTTGTAAATATCTGATTTTATTTAAAAGTTGTAGTTAGTTTTTTTATTAAAAAAATTAGAAGGTTAACTAGCTTTCGATAGTAGAATTTCATGTATTAATTATTGTAAGAAAAATCATTTAGCTCAGACTTATTAGAAAACTTACCCCGGCTAAGAAGTTCTACAGAACTAAGGCAGGCTAATGGATTCAATTTCTTAACTTAGCTTACGTCATTTATTGCTTTACACTCCGTTTGGGGGTTTTTTTAAATGAAGATATCGGTTTTTTTTTCTAAAACATCTGATAACTTTCACCAACTTTTCTGCGAGAGTTTTTCGGCTTTTAAAGTTTCAATTTGATCCGAAAATTTTGTTTAAAAAAAATACGCAACTTAGCACAATTCGAAAAGTTTTATTCCTGTCCGAAAAAATTTCAGGCCAAATTTATGTGTCGGCGGCGGAACATGCGTGATGAAAAAATCTTTTATATTCTTAACTTATCTTTTATATTTAAAATTTTTAGATTTAACAAATTGAACGATATGATTTAATCACTTTTGTTAACGATTTGAAACAATTTTCGAAATATTTCAATTTTATCATTTTAAAACAATTTACATTTATTCTCCTTTTAAACTTTTTAATGATTTCCAATCAGATAAAAACTAGCAGATTGTTATTAGGAAGAAATGGCGTTTTGATCGGATATAGATCAATGGGTTATCTGAAATGCATATCTTTTCTTTCATGAAACTCGTATAATATAAAGTTTGTGTTACTTATCAGTCCGAGTCATGCTTATTGGACAAAGTTTTGTGCCACATTAAAAATCTTTTAGCCATGCTAGTGCTTCTAAAAATTTTTAAAGAAATTATCTCACCTTCGAGCCAAACTGGTATGGATATTTTCGTTAATAGACTAAAAAACAAACTGATTAGAATCTTACCTATATCTTAGCTCCACTGAATGGTTTTGACAAATAATTTTCCTTTTTTTCTTTTAGTTTTTCACCTTGCAAAAAACTGGAAAGGAAAAAAATCATAAAAATGGATTTTTTTTTGGGTTTGAAATAAATTGTCCTTATTTTAATAATATTTTTATGATCAATCATTATTTGGCAATCTTTGTTCTAAATAATGCTCTCATGGCTAACATAATCATACAGTATTTTTATTGTACATTTCTCTTCAACTTATTAGAGTAATTCGAACTTTGTAAAACATCATTCCGAATGGAGGTTAATAATTCATTACTGTCTTTTTTTTGTCCAGGATGTTATCTAAATTGATCATCTAAGTCACAGTAATAAAACTTCCGAGCTGATATTCCACTGCAATTCAGACAGATAAATTTAGGTTTTGTGAACAAATTAGGTCAGACAGCCCCGTGTTTTTATCACGCTATATCTTGCCAAGATCTTCGATTATCTTAGTTTAGAGATTTGATATGGCTACTTTATCAAGATCCTGCAAGATCCTGATCAGAAAAATAGGTTAATTCTCGAGATCTTGAGAAAATATCCCTGCTACCGAGAATCATTAAAATCTTGGAAAACTCATGACAAATGTTGTCAATAGTTTGTCAAGATATCCATAATGTTGAAAAATGATAAATGCCCACTATTTTTTGCCTTAGTTCGTGTACTCTAGTTAACCATTTTTGTCATATTACTGTGCGTTTGATAGTACGAATTGAATAAAAAATGAATTTTGTAATCCAATTCCACAAAAACGGAGCTGCTACTTCCTACTTTTAAAAGGCAATTAGTTTGCGCAGTTCAGAGCCAAAATTTTTTAAACCAGGCTTAAATTTTTAAATTTTTTTTGTTCTTTTTTGTCAGGCTTTATACAATTAGCGCTGCTATGTTTCTTTTTTTTTCATTTCAAAGGCATTAGTTTGTTCAGCTCAGGGCCAAACTTTTTTAGTATTCCTAGACTGCTTATTAGCGTGTTTGATAAAAACTTTGGCGTAGATAGTACAAAGTTCAATCAGCACTGAAGTTTGCAACACATCTGCAAAAATAGCGCTGGTTAATTCTTTTTCTTTTAAAATATAATTAGTTTGCTCAGCTGAGAGACCAAAAATGTTCGCCTTGTCTTAAATTTTGCTTTTTTAATGAAATTTGAAGTTATTTGAAGAAGACTGCTCGTATCAGCGCAAACACTTGACTATTTCTTCTGCCTTTTAGCGTTCTTGATAATTTTTTTGCTACAAATTGATAACATTCGAAAATATAATCAAAATAACCGAAAAAAAAGTTTTAAAATTTTATGCGAGTTTATTTAAAAAAATAAGCCAAATGTAAGTTTATTTTCAAGGCAACTGCTTTATATCTCTTGCGTTGTAATTTTTTTAGTAATTTTGAATTCATTAGCTCAAGAATTTATAACAATCACAATATGCTCGTAATCTTTTTCAGTAACTGGCTGAGGTGAAGAACATTTCGAAAAAAAATTGAGTTCTAATTTGCTGTTTCGAGAAATTTCTGCCGAGGAACAATGTCGTCTCTAATAAATAATGGGAGCCTGGCGACGACTGCTTCGAAGTGTGAATTAAATCCAGCCGAGTGTGATGAATCTATGTCGGAGAACCCTCAGTGGTTGAGTGTTGTGGAGACGAGTGCCCGTGTACCAGTCGTGATCTTGTCTCTCGTGAGCAGTGCAGTCGTCTTAGTAGTTAGTATGCAAAACATAAATTCAATGACAACTTGTTCATTCAGATGAAAAACAGCATAAATTTCAATGAGCGCCCGTACCCAACTGAGGCTCTTTTTCTAGATAGAAATTTTATATAAATTATCTAGCCAAGTTTTCTCGTATTTTCTGTGCAGAAATGATCTATTTTTTTGTGGTTTAGAAATAAACAGTTTCTGTAAAGAAATAACCAAAAATCATTTCACTGCTCAACCGCAACGAGATAAACATGCTTCGAGTATACACAATAACAGTAGCAATACAATGCAAATAAACACTTGTTATAACAAGTGTTACTTTGTATTAAGTTGCTAAAACAATTAATCTTCTTCAAGGCATGTGGGCTAGTGGTTTGAACACCACCTAGCATATAGAAGTTGGGGGTTTGAGACCCATCAGGAGGTTTTTTCTAGCTAGGAATAGCCCAGGCTTAGCTCATTTTTGATCAGAAATAAGAATTGAAATAGAAATTTTCAGAAAAATCACTGCTTTCTTAAAACATTTCATGAAGAATTTCTGACCAAAAAATTGTAACAGATATAAAATATTTCAGCTCAGAAAAAAAAACTTTTTTCGGTACGGGCGTCGAAAATCACTTGTTTTTTAAGCAAGTTAATATTCATGTTCACCTTTCTTTTTAAACTTTATGTGAGCTAATTGATTCCAAAAATGATTTTATGGACGCTCAATTTTCATTTTGCAAATGAAATTTTGTGTGGTAGTAGATTTTAGAAAAATGAGAAAAAACTTGGAACTTTTTTTAAATTTTTACTTGAAACTTCAAAAAACATTATAAGACAATTGGCAGTGGAATTATGTGGAGTTCGCTCTCATACCATGCAGTTTTTTTTTAAATTCGGCAAAGGGTATGTTTATCAGAATTGCAAAAAATTTGAGACAGCATATCTATTTTTAAGTCCACTATCCGGTGCCCAGCTATGAATTAGTTGTAAGTGCTCAATCACTAACCCTCAATAATATGAGTGCTGGGCACCATCACTAATAGTGAGCAACATTACAATAATTTTTGATTTGAAGTTCGCTTAGATTGGCATACTAATCAAGGCACAAGATTTTGAGCAGGCATTTGAGTGAACCACCTTCAGAAAAATCAAATTACAAGAAAAAGTTGCGAGTTTTTTTAGATTTTCTACGTTGACAAAATTACGGTTGCTTTCGTACAATTTTGTTCTTGCCAGACATTTTACAATTCTTTTGGATCTTTTTTCAGTCGAAAGGAGTTAGTGCATGATATGTCGAATAAATTTCATAACTTTTTGATCAAAATGCCCAAATAGTTTTTTCTCATTTTGAATTAGCTGAATAACTATCATTTGGCTGTCGGAACTGACTAGTTCTATCTGTTCATTTGACATGAAAACTTTCAATACTTGTCCGAGGGATTACAACAAGATCAAATTCTATAAAAAAAATTCTATAAAAACATATAAATCTTTCAGTGTCCAGTTCAGCAAATTGTTCCAATTACCGTCAATAAAAATTTCTGAACACTATTGATGAAATTTTTAATACATATTACACCATTTTTAATTAAAAAAGCCAACAAAGTTTTGAAATTCAAAAACAGATTTAAAAATTCATCCACTACGTCAGAATATAAAATAGGAATATGGCTCAGTTTCTTATCGAAGAGAAAAATTTTATAGCTTCAAAAGCATCAGAGCAGCTTTTAATAGTCCAGAATTGTATCAACACAAAAATGAGATAAAGAAACAGCTATTCATGATTATTGTTCCAATTTTATTGTTCCGACAAAGATATTCATGCTTGATTTGGTTTTTTTTTCAGTAAATTTTCGGCGATTGAAGAAAAAGTTTTTAGCAAAAAATAATTTTTTTCATCAAAAATATTGACAACCTGAATCAAAATTTATCAGATATTTTACCTCAGATCATTTTTTTAAAAGTTCTGAGAGTTTGAAAATAGCCAATTTGGCCACTCTCTGGACTAATTTATTCGCGTTTTGAAGATTTGTTCATAATGCTGAAATCGTAACGCAAATCATTTATGCGTGGCAAATTATCCAGCGCGACAAAATTGTTCCAAATTGAGGCTAGCTAATTGGTCCTATTAGTTTCGCACGACTCATTTTTTTACACTTGATCTCATATTGTTCAAAATTTATAGTTTTTCAAGATTTTGTCTTGCCGAAAAATATTCAAGACTAATTTAAGGGCAATCGGAATATTCAGGGTTTCACTCTGATTTGCGAGCAGTGTCTTTGCTTTTATCAATTGCTCTGTCATAGAGATCATCGACGACAAAATTTAAACATCAAAAAAGTCATCAAACATGTAAAAATTATCTATAATGTTGATCATTGAGCCAGCAAGCCTAAGATCTGCAAAACGTAAAAATGGTTGCATAAACTCGTTTCTATGACAAACATTACATAAGAAACTTGACGATCGTAAAAATCAAGAGGTCGTTCTGATATAAACCATACTGTTTAAGTTTTGGCAAATGGCTTGCTTATCAGAGTTGCACGCTTGAGCAAACAATCCATTGAGTGGTCTTTGTTTGAGTTTGCTAGCTAATCGAGAGAGAAGCTCTTAGACCGTTACCTGAGTCAAACATCTCAAAAAAAAATGTCTCAAGTTACGAACAAAATTACTTTTTTAGCAAAACATTCGTCTACGTTTAAAAAACATACCAAAGATGAACTTCTAATCTCAACTAAATTTTTTCATTTTTTTTTGGTAAACCAATGAAATCATTGAAATATAAATTAAAATAGCTGCACCAATTTGATCTGAATGCCTGAAAAAGCTTAAAGCTTTACATGAAAACTAAGAAAAATGACCATATTGCATTTCGAAACAAAAAAAACCTTCGTTTTTTCTGTTTTTAAGCAAAATAAAGTTGGTATTAGAAGATAAAATTTCATATTTTTTTCATGTGTCATAGAAAAGTAATTTTTCTGGGAAATGGGATAACATTAAGCCCAACAAAATTCAAAAAACAATCACACTCCATGAAGCGACAAAAGATCTTACATCGTCATCCTCTGCAAAAGTTTTTGAAATACGCCAATGTATACTCAGAAAAAAGAAAAAAAAACTGGCCAGTTTTTTGTTAAAACCGTATCGTCATTTAAAAAATTAGCTAGTTGATTAGAGTTTCATCAAAAATTTTTCTTATATCTTATTGGCGTGCTTCAGAAAGTTTTGCTGAAATGGATCCGCTGCGGGATATATGTTTTTTCTTTGGGGTTTTTATACTGGATTTGTTTTTATCGTAATTCCGCAGACAATTTCACAACTACTTCTTTTTTCATTTAAACGTTTCCAATTAAACCAAAAAATTGCTATTCAGCTAATTCGAAAGGCACAGGTTGCACAGAAAAGAACAAGTAGAGCAGAATGTTCCGACCAGTCTTTAAAAAATACAACAAAATTAATTTTTCAATTAGGGTCGTTTTTTTGGCATGGTGTGATAAACTAATCAGAGCAAAAAAAAGTAGTTTTTAGTCATTTTCGTCACTCATGTAAGATATGCAAATTGAAAAATTGTTTTTGAAGACAAATAACAAGAAAAAGAAAATTATTTTTTCAATTGGTGTCGTTTTTTCGGCATGGTGTGATAAACGAATCAGAACAAAAAAAAGTAGAGCGTAGTCATTTTTGTCACTCATCTAAAATATGCAAATTGAAAAACTGTTTTTGAAGACAAATAACAAGAAAAAGAAAAAGAAAAGCTAAAAAATATTTTATCATTATTTAAAATTCGTCCCCAAATTTTTGAAGTTTTTCATTCATAAGATGAAGCTGAAAATTCGAAAAACTAACTTCATTAGAGTAAAATTAAATTTTTAAGGCTTGAATTAAGCATAAATAAGCTTACTCGCTCGAAATTAGACGAAAAATCAAAACTTTCAAACCGATTTTTCTCGACACCGGGAAAATTGTTTGAAATTTTATGATGTCGTTCGAATCACGAATGAAAGGCTTTAATTTGATATAACACTTAACTCAGTCCGATGATTATTTGTGGCAGCGGACTTTTTTTGGAAAAAAGCCAGAACACACCCGAATACAAAGTTCCTCCCCATTTTCAATGGTCGGAAAAAATTATTAAAATTTTACTGCCGAACTTGAATTGGTTTTGTTTTTTGTTTGGTTGGTGACCTGTTCCCTTGTCATATAATTTATAGTGGTCACCAAATTTTTCAGTTTTTTAGATAACTAACGGGTGCAGCTTTCAATAATTCTACTTAATTGAAGAGTATATTTAGAAAAAGTATGAAAAAGTTAGCGAGAACAAAACTATATTTGTGGTTAAAAACTGGCAAAAAAAACTTTCTTTTAAAGGCGCCTATTGTTGTACGCAAGCATCCGGTCTTTTGCCTAGATGCAGAAACTGAAAAACTGAGCAGTGTTTTCTCAGAATTCGATTTATTTTTTGGAGGTGTTTCTCTCAGTTGTCTGTCAAGATCATTTGTCTTGAACAGCACGTCTTGAACAGCAAGTTTGTCTTGAACAGCAAGTATTCAATTTTGGATAGCGTGCAAGTAGCCGAAGTTATTAAAAGAGTGCTCGTATTAGGGCAAAGTCTTGATTATTCCGACTCACAAGTGTTTCATGTTGTTGGTTAAAAATCATAAGAACTCATAGAAGGTTTTTTTTAAGTATGATATTCTCAATTTCGGTATCAATATCAAGTTAAACCAAGATAAAAATTACCTGCGAAAGGATTTTTACTTTCTTAACAAAATGATTGATTCTTCAAGCTAATTGAAAAATAGACTTTGCATGAATGAGCACCAAATTAACGCAATCACTGCCTTCTAATAAGCACTCATGTCTGTCTCTGACATTTCCGTTTTGCCTGCTAGTTATGTCAGCTTCAATTATAGCTTATCTGAACCGAAAGCTACTGAAGATATTCTAAAAGACAGACAAAAGATGGTCGAAAAACTTTGTGTTTTTAAAATACTTTGGGTGTTCCAATCTGAGAGTCGCTGCGTTAAAAATATGAAAATGCACTTTATTTTATTGCTTAGTGAACAAAAAAGTCAGCAAACCGTAAACATCAATATGCATGAAAAATCGAATTGATAATTCAAAACTGTTTTTCTCTGAAAGCATCAAGAGAAATACTCCAGATATTCTCATGCAAATATATAACCCTGTTTTTGGGCCATTGTATGCTATGCTACTTGCATACCAGATGGTCATTTTTAGTTTGACTTTCGACGAAAGTGACTAAAGATTTGTGCTTGGGTGTTTTTTTCTCATGGCCCAAGAAAGTGATCTCTTGAGCACAATATTAGAATGATGTTTTTTTACCAGTGACCACTTTTTGAAGGATTATGGTGGTTTGAAAATAGGCAATTTAGCCAGTTTGGGATAAGTAGCGCGCGATATAGATCAAACCAAATTGAATTGAGGCAGGCAATTTGCTCATATTATGGCGTGCGTTACAAGACTTATAACTTAAAACTTTGTACTTTACATAGCTTGTGGGGGATAAATTGAAAAAGTTTTTAGAAAAAATTAGCAATTTTCTAGTGAATTTATCAATTTTTAACAAAATTTTTTATCGACTTCAATTACAGCTTTGCCCTGATACGAGCAGTCTTGTTTCAATATTAAAAAAATTACTATACAGATCAGCCGCGCTAACACAACTGAACCTTAATTTGCTCAAATGTCAACAAAAAAATTTCCAAAGCTTATTTAGAATTGCCCGATTTTAAACCACGGGAAAAACTGTCTTATGATTGGTACTGACAAGATCTTTTATCTTCTGATTTTTTCTTTCTTATTGTCTTTTATGGAGTCTTTGATTTCATGTTTTTTTTAAAAATCTATTTTCTATTCTACCCTGTGCCATTTTGAAACAATGGCATTTGGATAAGCGACAGACACCAATTCTCAAGGGATTAACTTTTCTACAAACTACACAAAACCTGCCATTTAACTCTCCTGACAATGAATGGTCCAGTTTGCATTTTCCCCGCATTGTATATTTTTTTTGAAGCGGAGTTCATTTTCTGCAACGCAAGACGCCATAAACATTTTATTGGCTTTTTGTTCCGACTTTCGCCAAGTAACGGAATATTTGTCGTGCTCGGGGTGGGTTTTTTTCTTCAGAAAAATTTCGATTTTTTAACTAGCCATTTTTGACGGAATTTTTTTATATCATTCGAAAGGTTTTGTTGTCTTGAGCTTAAATTTGAAAAAATAATTTACCTGAGATCATTTTTTGTAAAAATATGGGGTTTTAAAGATTGCAGTTTTGGCCAATTTGGGACAATTAACGCGCGATAGACTTCGCCCTTTTAATGCGTAAGCGGAGATATAAGCAGTGTTAGAGGTCGTTCCAAATTGGTTGAAAGAAGCTTATTTGCCATAAATGATGTGCTACTAGGAGCGAAATTGATCACTTTGTACTTAGTATGGCATGTGGGGATGATTTTTTCAAAAAATCTCAAATTAAAAGAAAAATTTTATTTTAGTTTTTTTTTCTGTATTAAATTTCTTTGTGTTATTACTGCTCCATAGACCTTAGAAGGCAGTCGGAACATTCAGGGCTTCACTTTGATACGAACTGTCTTGTTATAGAGTAAAATTTGATAGAATTTCAATCACTAGTGATGTCATAATTCATCAGTCTTATGCAGCTCTGTTGCTGTTCAATAAAAATATTCGCATAAAGACGAAATTTGGCATTAGACTTGTCACGATTTATGTAAAAGTTGAATCAAATTTTGGGATATTATCGATAACAAATTAATTTGAAATTGTGACCAGAAAACAGTTTTTGAAAATTTTTAAGCTTTACGGAAGTTTATAATTATCATAACCTCTGCGGCAATCTTTTTCATGCAAAAGTGGATTTTCCAGCATTTTGGAGGATTTAGACCAAATAATTAAATGAAACGCGTTCAGTTTTTATCTCAAACTTATTGGCATCAATGACCTTAAAAAAAGATGTAATGCACACTTGATATAATCGAGTAAACGTTTGGAAAAAATTGGGAAGCCATATTTATGACCATCTTATTCGACAAGTTTTTGGCAAAATAAACTAAACAGGTTTTAAAAATTCAATGACACTCCAATGAGTTTCATTAAACTGTGCTTATGATTGTTACTGCTATTATAACTCGTGTGAATAACTATTTGCCATTTATTGTTGTACCGACTTTCGATGAAAGTGACTGAATATTTGTAATCGAGGAGGTTTTTTTTTCTCCAGACAAGTTTCGTCTTTTGACCAGTCATGTATAATTATATATCTGCAATGACTTTTCGAATGCATTTTTTGAACATAGTTCTAAGAGTTCTTGTTGTTTTTTTATGCCCATTTTTCTCCTTGACATCTGTTATCAGGGGAGGAAAAACAAATTAAAAATTAAAAAATTACGCACCCAAGTTTTAAAAAAGTCAAGGAAATGATAGAAAAAAAAAGTAAATCGGGAAAATCAGAGTTTTTCCTGGTCCGAGCAGGGTTGCTGTCAAAATAAATGTCCAAGAATTACCAAATACGCAGCAGAAAAAAAGCCAAAAAATAAAGTTCACCTTGAAAAGAGAGCGTGATAAAGGGGACTTGATAAGAATTTTACGTTGTTTAGGCAAGAACGCATGACTCGAAATATGGAAGTAATCAATTAAGCTGCAGTTTGACAGCACATTGAGGTCAATTTATTAATTTTTGTTTGAAAAATTGATTAAATAAGGGGACATTTTTTCATTTTTTTATTCTTTTCAATCCCCAACACATAAAAATCAAGCTGAATAACAGCGTCTTGTATCCGAATAACAAGACCAAATGACTTGCTTCAAATTGGAATGGTTTAATCCGTCGTAATTTGCGCGTTAGTTACCCCAAATTAGACAACTTAGCAAATTTTAAACCCCCAGAAATTAACAGAAAGTTATCACGGACAATCATAACTTCCTTATAGCCGGAAAAATTATGTCATAATCGAAGTTAGTAAGTTGAAGTTTGCTGAATAAAAAACTGCTGAGGTTTCGACTCCCGATGAAGATTTATGAAGTTGCATTCGCCTTAAGAAATCAAAAATAATTTGATCTTTTTGAAAATCATCCCCCACTTACTATGTAAAATAGAGAGTGATGTTTTCCTCATCACTTCAACAAGTTCTAACAAGTTCTAAGCTCCGCTTACGCGTTAAAATTGAGCTCATGATACAATTGTCTTTTGGATTATATAAGAAAACTGTCAAAAATGGCTAGTGAAAAATTCTAAAGTTTTTCTAAAAATTCTAAATGTCTGAAGAAAAAACCATCCCGAGCACAAATATTCAGCCACTTTCTTCAAAAGTCAGAACAAAAATATGTCTGGAGAACATATTATTTTTTCCTGTTCTTTTTTTTGTTTTCTTAAAACAAAGGGGTTATTTCACAAATTCAACAAAACTGGGCTTTCACAAAGAATTAAAAGCAAAGCAATCAAGATGGATTTAGGAAAACTAAAGGATCATATTAAGTCGATTTACTTACAAATCTTAACCAAATAATGCTCAAACACATTTTCGAAAATTGAAGTTTTTCATTTTGTTTTCCTGCAAAGCAAAATCACTTAAGATGATTTAAAAAGCATTTCGAGTTTCGAGGGCTTCGCTTCGATGCGAACAGGGCAGGCTAATTTACTGTTTCCTTTGTGACAAATACAAACTTACAAACTTAGACAAATGGCTTCTACTTAATGACCACCCCGTATAGAGGACGAAAAATCAATGTTAGTTTCTGGATTGAGGTGGTTTTTAAATTTTGGCAATTCTTGGAGCGGAGCGTAATATAGTTTAGAAAAAATCCCGAAAAAGACCAATTGAAAGAGAATTGATTGACCCTGGCTTGAAAACAGTTTCTGAATTAAGATTGAACTGAAATAAGTTAGTTTCTCCAAATGAAGCCGTTCTACACTTGACAAATATATAGTTTTGTAGTTGACTTGTGACTTTACGGGTAAGGGAAGATAGACTTCAAAAATAAAAAACGGAAATATAGTTCTACTTATTTGTTAAAATAGGTTGTGGCGTTCAACCCGAATCTGCGTCAGTCACCGGGGCTCCTGATGGCGATCTTGTCGGTTCTCGACATCCTCATCATCCTGGGGGACTCTACTATAGTGTCGGTGCAGGTGGCTAGACAAGCAGCTGCCCTTGAAGTGTACGAAAACCCAATCATGTGTACCGTTAGTCACACTTCTTAATTAATCCTCAAAAAGTATATCAATAATATTATGATTATTATTATAAATAATTCATTACTTCGTTTAAGGGCTTTGCCACTAAATTATTAAAAAGATCTTCTCGGATCTTCAATTATTTGAATGAATTTTTGGGGCGATATTTCTGTTTTTGCGATCTTCGGGCTACAAAAGTCGCCCAAATTGGCCCTCTGAGTTCTTCAGTATATAAACAGATGGTGCCCCAGAAAAATTGAGGTGAAAATTGACTACTAAAATTTCACTCGGTCGGTCAAAATTTTGATGTAGACTTGGTGCAAAAAGAACAGTTTTTTGGGTAATGAGTTGAATTTTGGATATTGAGGGCCCAAAGCTCTACTGGCAGGTGGCTTCGATCAATTACATGAACGTTTTTTTTTTCGATTTCATCAAGCAGAGGCTGTTAGCATAGTGATAATGCGTTCACTTTGAGATCGTCAGATTGTGTAATCAATTCCCTGCCATGGCAATGATAGCGTTTCTGGACGAGCTCTCACTTGACCTCGAGGTTTAGGTCTACCACAGCCTAACCAATTCGGCTGCAATAGTGGTGCAATGTGAAAGTTCTAGACGCATACAAAAACCGCCTTATGTCGCAAAAAAAGAGCTTCGCTTAACAAAATATCTCAGTCTTGAGCTTGGGAAAATGGGAGAAACGGACTATGCTAAGACAGGCTGGAATCAAGTTTTGAATACATTTTTGTTCCGACTTTTGATACGAAAGTAACGGAATATTTGTGCTCGGGGTGGGTTTTTTTTTCTTCAGACAAATTTCGACTTTTTAACTAGCCATTTTTGACGGACTTTTTTTTATATCATTCGAAGGGTATTGTTATCCTGAGCTTAAATTTGAAAAGATATTTCACCTGTGATCATTTTTTGGAAAGTTATGAGGGTTTAAATATTGCCATTTTGACCAATTTGGGACAATTAACGCGCAATATAATTCGCGCTATTAACGCGTAAGCGGAGATTTAATCCGTCTTAGAAATCGTTCCAAATTGGTTGAAAGAAGCTTTTTTTTGCCATAATTGATTTGTTACAAGGAGCGAAATCTATTGTTTTGTACTTAACATGGCGTGTGGGGGGAAGATTTTCATTAAAAAAATTTAAATTTTAGAAAAAAAAATTTTCATTTTGTTTTATTTCATTTAATTTCTTACTGCTCCATAAACATTAAAAGGCGGTCGGAACTTTCAGGGCTTTGCCCTGGTACGAGCATTCTTGTTTTTACTTTGCACGAAATCGAATTTGTCCAAAAATTATCATAATTGAATAAATGTCAATTCACGGTAATTTATAATGGAATTAGTGTTTAGAGTTTGTGACTGAAATATATACAACCATTACTTACTTCATTAAAGCAGCTTCAACGAAAGTGAGTTGGTTTTACAAACCGGTAGAATTAATTTAACTCTCACGAAATAGATTCTTTCTTGAATTAAACAGAATTAAACCTAATCGACTATAAAGGGGATTAAACATAATCGACTATAAAGGGGATAACATGACTGCTGGTATCAAGGCGAAGAGCTGAAAGTTACGACTGCCTTTTAAAGACTATCGGGCAGTGTTTATTTAAAAACAAATAACGAGTTTTTCATACAAAAATGAAAAAAAATGTTTAAAGATTTTTAAAACATCTCACCGCGCGCCATAACTTGTACAAAAGGCAGCATTTTTGACAATTAGCTGACTTCAACCAATTATGAACAGTTTCCAAGAGTGATTAAAATTCCGCTTAAGCGTTAATAGCGCAAAATAGAACGCTTTAATTGTCCCAAATTTGCCTTATTGGCAATCTTTAAACCCTCATAAAAAAAATTTAAGAATCAAAGGTAAAATTTAATTTCAAATTTGAGCTCGAGACAAAAACAGCTCTCGGTTGATACAAAACATTTGAAAGTTCCTTTTTAAGAAATCGAAACTTGTCTGGAGAAATAAAAACCACCTCGAGCACAAATTTTTCGTCACTTTTTTGGAAAGTCGGACAAAAAAATAGAAACATCAAACCTTTCAAATTACTTGAAAATATCAATAAAAACACGCTCAATTGCAAATAATTCCAAAATTTTTCCTGCTTGAAGGTGAAGAGAAACTCATAGCTGCTCCAGCATTATTACAGCAAAAGAGGTATTTGCCCATTTTAGCCACATTGGAAAGACGTGTCTATGGAATCCAAAAGCGAGCGATTACAAAAATGTGCTCTGCTATGAAGCGAATTTTTGCGTCGTGATGTTCCCTGCCAACCTAATAGCAAAATAAGCCCTCCGAAAAATAAACTTTTCAATGACTTTAAAGCAGTTGTCGTGCTTTCATTGAATAGTGCATTCATACACAGTTGCAGTCTTGTTTTGTTACTACAGAACCAGAACTAAACGCTGCATCATAGAGTTCCCAGTTTTTCATAAAATAAATATACACATGCTATTTTACCGTAAGTAATTATTTATTCAAATTGCTATAATGGGAGCTATAATGGGTGCTATAATGGGAAACAATAAGGAAAGTTTAGAAGAGGAGAGCTGATAAAAAACACAAATACAGAAAACTCTGGGTCTGAACGGCTTAAATATTGATAGTATTGATACTTTTAAAATTTTTAGTACTGAGTTAGGGCTGGTGTGTAACTCATAGAGTAATTTCGGATAGGGTACACCGTCTGCTCGTCACGCTACCTTATTTTCGGCCGGATAGATTCGTGCAACTTCTTAGTCTAATACCGATCCTAATCTTACTCTTATACTATCTAGTCTCAGGTTGTTTAACTAGTCTCTGCTAGGCTCAATAGATCTAGGGTATACTGGTTTATTGCGGCTGCTGAAGTGCTCGGGAGAGTCCAACTAATTTCTAAGTTAAATTCAAATCTCTCTGGTGCTGAAATTACAAGTAACTTCAGCACTTACAAATAAGTGGGTTGTTAGTTAGATGGATCATGATTGGTTAATATTAAATACTTTACATTGGTAAAACATTTAATTTATCCAATCATAAAATATAGTTTAGATCAGGTTCCACCCATCCGGGTTTTACAGAGTTTTTTAGAACAGTTCTTTTGTAGTTCAAGGATGGATGATGGACGTTGGTATTTGGCGAACATCATTTTTCTTTTGTTTCCTTTTTGTTAAGGAAGTTCCAGGGATCTGGAATTGAGGACACAAGACGTTGTGTTCTTCTTGTGACAACGACTGAGTCTCTGCAACAGCATCAATTCTGGTTTCAGAATGGTTGGCTATGTCAGGTTTTTCTGTTCTTCGGAGAGAACTTCTTTTGTGTTTGATCTAGCTCGGGAATGGCGTGGAGATTGTGCGTGGAGGGGATGCCTGGTTACTCGGATCTGTACGTATACTTGAACATCGAGGTGGTCATTGGTCTAGTTCAATGAAGTCCTTTTCTGCGAGGTCAAGTCGTACTCTAAATCCTTTGAGTTGTGATTGTGAGCGGCATATCGATTATAGTTGGTCATTCTCTCTCGAGTGTAGTGAGGTCGTCTTGTCTTTTGATGTTCGTCCTTGGTGTTGTATTCTGATCTATATATTGCATCATGTGATTTTACATTTTATAAAACTTTTATTAATTTAATATTTTTTAATTATGATTTTAGTTAGTTGTTTTCACAAAAGCTTTTTGTTTTAGTTCGGTTATTTTGAAGAGTTACTCACCCTTGAGTAGCTCTTATTAAAAATAAAGGTGTGGTCACAAAGCGTGGATGTAGCACGGTGGGTTAGGCCGGCTATAGAGCATGCTCAGGACGTCCTTTCCTGGTGGGTTAGGCCAGGTGTGGGAGTATGATTTCATGCGGTTTTTATGAGGGGTCCTGTTATGTGACAACATTTTATGTTGGGTTTGTTGTGGTTTTACTTATGTTTTGTTGGTTATGTACTTTTTCCAAAAAGCAAATTGTTTGTGGTATGGGTTTGTCTTTCGACTTTTTTGTGTTTTATTATCTCTTTCTAAGACTTTGTAATAGTCTTCAAAAGAATAAATTATCCAGTTTTAAACTGGGTTAATCCGGTTTGGGTACCGTTGGTTTCCTTTTCTTAGTCATGCTGTTATTTTATGATTTGTGGTATTTAGTAAGCTGCGTTGGTTAGTTTTGTTTAGTATATGATTCCTTTCCAACCGGGTTAAAGGAAAGTTTGAAACTTGTTATTATTTGTTAGAGTTGTTGAGTGTGAAAACTTGAAACTGAAATTCATTATTTTAAACAATTCTTCGTGGGCGAGCTGTGCGAGTGTGGATAGAATTTCTGTGCGAATGAATGAAAATATCAAAAGGTTAGTACTGCAATTGCATTTTATTAATTTACTGCATAGAATTTGGAAATTTACTGCTAGTAATGGGGGAATTTTAAGATACAAATTTTCATCATATGTAGATTTACTGCTTTTAGGGGAAAATTTTATAAATTAATTTACTGCATTGGTATTATATTTATTTAATTGTTGGTGCAAAAGTTAAATAGGGTTTTAAATAGTTTTGAAGAAGTTTGCTATTTTTTATTTTTCTTTTGTGAATTTTTCAGATGATCGAAGATGAAGGCTAAAAATCTAAAGAAAACATGAATAAAGAATGGTGAGTTTTTTTAATATTTTAATTAGTTAGTAATATTCATTTAATTCATACTTACCTGTTAGTCGTCGGGGAAAAAACCGTGGGGGAAGATGTCGTGAATTAGTTCTGAAGTTGTTAGTAGTTTAGCTAAGATGCGGATGATATTTTTAGTTTGAAGCAGTGGCCAAAGCAATTGAAGTGCCTTAATAGTGGTTAGTTCTTCAGTGCCTACTGCAAACTCATAAGGTGTGTTTTGGATTAAGTTATATAACTTGTGGTTAAATTTAGTGTTGTGGATGAATTCTAAAATGGGGATTTCTATAGGCTGTACAAACTCGTGCGGGATAAGGAAGGGTCGGGATTCTTCTGCGTTGAAGGTCTTGGTGATGGGGCAGAAAATATACATTTGGGTT